GGAACCACAGTGCTTCTGAAGAGATTCCGAAGTGTTGCTATCATGAAGTATTTCTCCCGACTCACTTTTCACACTATTTGTTCACATCCGTTCAACATTACTATGCATTCTTACTATTCGCTCCCACCCTACTACTACCACCTCTCTCCCTCGCCATTCCCTCTCTCCTCCCCATTCCCCCTCCTCTTCCCTCCGCTCCCGTAAATACCACCACGCCGCGGGTCTGACCTCTGTCGTGCGGAGATCGCTCCCTCCCTCCCTCCCTCCCTCTCTCTCTCTCTCTCTCTCTCTCTCTCTCTCTCTCTCTCTCTCTCTCTCTCTCTCTCCCTCTCCACACACTCTCTCTCTCTCTCTCTTCCTCCCACTGTCTCTCTCCCTCTCTCTCCTCTCCCTCTATCTAGCACCCCAGATAGCGGGCCTGGCCCCTGACCGCTCTGACCGTTATGCGCGCAACGCGGTCAGCCGGCCGGCCCGCCCAGCTCTGCAACATTGCACAGTACACGGCCGCGGCGGCACGGACCAACGACCGCCGCGCATGACCGACGCCTCTCCGCCTCTCTCTCTCTCTCTCTCTCTCTCTCTCTCTCTCTCTCTCTCTCTCTCTCTCTCTCTCTCTCTCTCTCTCCCTCTCTCTCTCGCTCTCGCTCTCGTTCTCGCTCTCTCTTTCTCTATCCGTCCTCCTCCCTCTCCCTCCCTTTCTATCCTTGCTTTCTGTATCTCTCCCTTTCTTTCTCTCATTCTTTTTGTCCTCTCTCCGCTTCTCTTCTTTCGCTCCCTATCTCTCTCCTTATCTCTCTCCCCCTCTCTCTCTCTCTCCCTTTCTCCTTTTTTCGTTTTTAATAATTTAATAGAACTTTGTTAATCTTATTGATTAGGCATGTATGTTTGCCTGGTTTTTTACCCCTTTTTGCGAAAAAATATTTCGTTGATGACACTGTCAGGCAAGAAGGTGCCTTACTACTCCTGATTCCGCTGTCATTTCACACCTGACCAGAACGTAAGCCTAATTTGTCTCAACTTTCTCGGTTCATACAGGATAGAGTGGCAGTGAGTGAAGTGGATTTAACTGGAAAGCTCCTAGAATTGATATTTGCCCTAATTCCAGCTAAGCGGTCGTTGTTTCACCTTGGTTAGGAAGAAATACTTCACCTTTTTGGTGGTTAGTTGATCGTTGGGCTCTATAACGAGGCATTCTTGGTAAGTTGGTAAGTGACAAAAGATCCTGGCCCGTGGGATAACATAATCCTAATACAACTGAGATAAAAACTATGCCTGCGCTTTGAACTACTCGACGAAATGATTGCAAGTGCCAAGTGAGCCAGGTAATTTATCATGAATATTAGAAATACCCATGGAAACATAGACACCAGGATTTGGCTTTTTGAATTGCCCACACATTAATTATTCGAACCGCTTAACACAAAATATTATAATGTCTCCTGCTGTGCCGGTCTAAATATGTCAATCAGTGTGTAATGTCCTTGTTCGCAAGTCACAATACAGAAAACTTATCTGCATAAGTGCATAACTGAAGTGTTGCGGTTACGGCTAGACAAGGAAGAGACTATGCTCAATGCGAGCTTCTGAATGACATGGTGGCCTCCAATCAGCATATGCTGCATAGTTGCACGATTCAGGTAGTTTACTTAGTGATACAGTTATATTTATTGCATAATCACGCCTTAGCAGTATTAAATAACAGATTCTATACTAATTAGATAGGTAGGCAAAATAGAAGTATTTTACAACGATAGGATCAAAGTTTAGCAGCTATAGCGCTGTGCTCTTCAATTTGCCGACAAACGGTGCTAAAAAAACTTTTTATATAACCTCTCAGTGACACGTGTAACTTTATTCTAAATTTAGCACCTAACCACAATGCCTTTTTCTTCCTCAGTAAACGTCCGTCTAAAGTCAGCCCTCACGAATTCATGGCATTGAATTGGCACTAATCCCTGAAGCACGATGCAGCGTTCAGTCTTCACAATCTTCAGTTACCTGCACTGTGTAATGTGTATATGAACGCTAAAATTCACACCTCCGCAGACTACGGGCGTTCCAATACCACGCTCGGCTGGGCGTACCGCAGGGCTCCGTGGCAGACCCCGTGTTTTTTGCGCGTCATGTCACCTGACGCAACTGGCAGTAATCTATGGCGACCGGGGGCGGTGATTATCTGCCCGGCCACAGCGGTTACTGTCGGACGCCATGGCGGCTCCCCTGGTTCCCTATCCTGTACAGTCAGGGTGCCGGGGATCAGAGGTAACCAAGGTGTGGCGGTGGTTACATGGTTATTACCCGCAGACGAACCACAACCGATGGAGGATGGCTCACCAGAGAGAATAGTGCATAATTCACTTAGAAAACAATTGTACGCGGCATCTTTTTGACGACCTGTTGCAATACTTATTCCTGTGATGCATCTCCAAATCGAACTTGAACTCACGCCTGGATAAATCAAATCGGTTAAAACCATGGCTGTGTACTAGCTATGGCTAATTGTATACCTATCTATAAGATCGGAGCAGCTAAACACAGAGCATTGGCTTCCAGCTAGCCCTCTCTCCACCCCCTAATTTCCTTATGCTCTTTCACCTCATGCCGGATAATCCAAGAATATCCACCATTAATTAACCGATAACAAATAGAAACATGAACCAAATCGAACAATGGCGCCGTATTACTGTACGATCATTACGATCATGGTTTGTCATTACGACTCGCTCTTAGTCCCGCCACGTGACCTGTGACGTCTGGGATCACGTGAAGCCACGTGACAACTGTGGCTCACTGAACACTGAGCCACGTGTGGTCACGTGGCCGAAAGGAAAGGTCGCCGAACGCCGCATGGCTGGCCGGCGGAGCGGCGGCGGTGGGATGGTGGGGGAAGAGGGTACTAGGGGGCCTCAAGGTCCCCCAGTCACCGGCCTGTGATTCAGAGGTAACCCCCCGTCCGGCGCGACCTTTGACGACCGATACCGCCAGCTTCCAGCCTCGCATTTGTTCTGTTTTTATAATTAATTCATGTTATTCATTTCATTATTTGGTCTCAAGTTGTGATTTGGCACGAGCTAAGAAGTTATGGTTCTAGAGGAGTACTTATTTTAGGCTGGATATTTTATCCTAGCTGAAATTAGTGGGATCATGCAGACTGCATTTTGCATCGTGCATACAAAATTGATGAATAAGCTTTGTTGTTCAGCACAGCCTTTGTTACCATGAGTGAAGAGAGAGTTCCCCAAAACTGAACAGCTTCACTCGATATCTATCAAACACTTTTTACTTCCGCACTTTTTGATATAAACTCAAGATAGGTATAATGATCTCCCAGTTTTTTTTTTTAGCGAGAAACCATATTTTTTATCGATCTCACTCACAAAAAACTCGTCAGCTAACAACGGATCGCGTGCCGTGCCGGGTCGCGCAGAAAGACAGACTCTTTAGGGTTGGCCCGCACAAAAACCATCAGTCGGAAGAGTCGGAGACAGAGGTCTCACCAATCAGCCCGCATCATCTGTAAGCTGCGGGCTGATGTCGGCTTCAAACCCGGGGAACGGCCGCTGTCGGGGCACACCCGCGCCGAGGCGTGGGTCGATATCACGCCGGGCGTTAGTTCACTACGGAGAGGGAGAGGGAGGGATAGGGCGAGGGAGAGAGAGAGAGAGAGGGGGGGGGGGTGAATGCTCATTTATCGGTAAAGGTGACTGGTGGAATGTCGACCTCTGTCTTTGCCGAGTGATTCTGTTACTTTCATCAAACTGTTTTTTTTTTTTCGGCATCGCTGTCGCATCTCCTGTCAGTCTAGAGTTTTAGACCGTCCAACTGTCCTACACTCGAAAATAAAAGTGCACGTTGAAGCAACGCCACTGGCCTACCACCATGAGTGATATGTTTTGCGTCCAGTCCCGCGTGAACATTCCCCCATGAGTGCCCACCCTATATCGATTCAGCGCCTGACCGCTGCGGTGGTACCCCTCACACACCACACACTCCCCTGCTGAGCCCCACTGCGGCGTCAGAGCCCCTCGACCAATCAGCGCGCCCGGCGGGCCGTCGCTCCGCCCCCTCCTCCCCTCTCCCCCAGTCTGCGTGCGCCGCTCAGCATGCGTGTTCCCGGATGTTGCGTTAAAACCGACTCAACTGGCGTTCTGATTGGCCGACGGCAGTTGTCGTTTCGGCGTGTTGCAGTCGGGATTATGATTGGTCGCCCGCTGCCGCTACGCAGAGGGTCTCTCACCCAACGCGCATATGATTGGCGGAGCGGGCTGCGTGGCACGCTCATCCGGGAACCCTGACGCGCACAGACGCACAAATCGGATGCGTGCGGGTTGGGCTCGCCGCTGCGGGTAGCCAGTCAGGGAGGAGGGAGGCGGAGGGATCCACCAATGGTGTCGTGGCTTGAGGAACGATGAGGGTGCGTGCAAGGCGCAGATGTAACCTCGGCTCAGCACATGAATGAGTTATGTAAAGAGAGGGCGAAAGAGAACCACGTTTGTTGGTGTGAGATGATTGCTCTAGGTTTCTTTTAGGCTTGTCAGTTGTTCCGTTCAGGTGCAAGTGATTCGTCCTTCCAAATCGATTATTTTGCGGTTGAGTGAGCTGCGCCGTAGAATGGAAGCTGTACCTATGGGATTTTCAGAATGTGTGATAGAAGTCCGTTCTCGCCGCTGTTCTGACCCTAAGCCGCTGTTCTCGCCACCGTCCTGCTCTCCATTTCCAGAATCTTTGGTGGACCTCCGTTGAAACCACTGTTCATAACTCTAAACTCTGTTTTGACTACTATCACACCCTCAGTCTTTCAGAATTTCTGAATTCGGAAATTTGAATGATCAGCTGCTCTGATCACCACCTTGATTACTGTTTTACCCCTGTTCTAACCGTTGTTTTGGCAACTGTCTCATTTTTTTACAGAATCTCTGGTGGACGGCTGTTCTGACACTATTCGAACCGCTACTCTTCCACCTGTTCTAACCTATGTCCCCGTTGTTTTTCTGTTTCAGAATCTCTGGTAGACGTTACGCTGTCGTGCGAGGGTCAGAGCCTCAAGGCACACAAACTGGTCCTCTCGGCCTGCTCGCCCTACTTCAAAACACTCTTTCAAGACCACTCAGAGGCACATCCTATTGTGATATTGAAGGGTAAGTGACCAATGGGAACTATTGGCGGCTGGGCGGGCCGTGGTGTGCCAAGAAAAGCCAGGCTGGACGTTAGAAGTCCGGCAGCTAAAATTGCTCCACTTGAACAGCAATGCAACGCAGTTTTGGTAAGTTCTGCGCGCTAAATTGTCATTATTTAGTTTGTCTTGTCTTATCTCAAATTGGTTTTTAGCATGAGACTGAGTTTAAAAGGAAATTGACAACCACGCCGCTTTTATCTTCTAAACACATTATTCAGGGCACATAAAAAGGAAGCAGAGCTCAAAAGTACATATGAATTAATTAATCGAAGGTAAGACTCGGCCAGCTGCGCCTTCTTTAGAGCATTACGAGTCGTCCAAAATTAGCCTAACTGGTAGAACACTTTGTGTTTTAAGCACCTGACTGTTCGTTAAGTATACCTGTTACTGGGTAAATTATGCACCGATCACGTGTATTCAATGCAATGCAAAACATTTAGGACAAGTTTTATAACAGTCGGTAGCATTTTAATGCCAGGCATCAATGGTGCTGCTTCCCCAATCCACCGATAATCCGCAGCCGGCATGCCCGCATGCCACAAATTGTGTCTCATTGTAAGCTTTGCTGGTGCATTTCGCTGCGCGTCCGCGAATCAAGGTTACTCAGCCTTGGAGGGCTTTAGCGGCCGGCCGCCGCCGGTAAGCGGTGCACGGAACTCGGTCAGTTGGCAGCACGTTGGCAGTCGTCAGCGAGTTTTACCCCGGCACGTGGCCTGTTCACCGGGTCACTGTCAGCTGGCGCCGGCGGTGACAGCTGAGCTGCCACCACACGGCGCCGGTGGAGAAATTCACCAATTGGCCGAAAATAATTGGCTGATTGGTTTGCGAACATGCGCTGTGGTGTGGAGACGTTGGAAAAAAGATTGGAGGGCATTTGGCTGTGGTTGGTATAGCAATAAATGCGGTTTCCTAGATAGGGAGAACGAATGTTTTCAGACAGTCGAGTAGCCTTTTCAGCATGTTGCAACAAAAGAGGGTTGTAAAAGTGTTCGCCTTAAACCCGATAAATATTTTATAATGCAGCCGCGGGTGCAGCTGTTACTTGCATTATGCATTACCACCCTGTCTTGGCTGTCCTTATAGGGCATTGATTTTATGCATTTTGACTGTCTGTATCGAACACAAATTAAAAGCACAATTGTATACAAATATCGGGGATTCTGTTCACCCATCACATCACCACTCATTCCTTATCCTCATCAAAGCTATATCTACGACATCGACCCTTAGCAACAACCCATTGGAGTCAATTCGCCTCGCGGTATAGTTGACCATAGCGCAGTCTCATCCTTACGGCGCCATCATCAGCCACCTCTGATAATAACCCCCTACCACCACAATGGACGGTCACGGATCACGTTGTCAGTGATCGCCTGTCGTGAATAAAGAACACTGCCGTGAATAATCACGGTGAGTCCCGAAGCCGCCCTGTCCCAGTCATCTAGACTGATTGGGCGCGCGCTATCAGGCAGGCCGTGCTCTGATATGACCGTCTAGCCACGCCGGGTCATTGGATACGGTGTTTATACTCGCAGACAGACGCGGTCACGTGTCACCACACGGTGAGTCACGTGGTCAGTGTGGGTGGTCTTTTTCTAAGACATGGTCGCAGTCACGTGGTTAGTGCGTGTGTCACGTGGTAAGAGGGACTATGATATATGGCAGAGCCACAGTGAATGAGACTGAGGCTGTCGTAGTTGAAGGAAAAAAAACTGCGACATGTGTGAAGTGGGTGGTCCGATTTCATGAGACGGTACCGTATCAGTACAACAGGATAACAAATACGGGTGAGATGCCGGCGCGGAACAATTTTACTCCACGATTGCACGTTGATGCGACGTAAAGCGGCGTCAAACCTGAAGTCTTTTGAGCGCTGACGTCAGATGATCGTGGAATTCCATGTGTACCCCAAGCTGGTATGTACAACTGGTCAGAAAGAACAGTGGCGGCGGAAGTGGTCCATGACCAATGACCATACCATGCGTGATATCAGTGTCACAGACCGTCCTGGCGCCATGCAGCCGCCATGTTGGAGCAGTCCAGCCTCCGGGGGACGGAACCGAGACGGCCGGACCAATTTCTCAGTCCACCCGAAGCCAGTCAGCCAGTTTGGGTAATTTATGGCCGTCGTCCGCAGCGAGAAGTAAATGATGGATGGTGTCGCTTTACCCTCCGATCCGTGGCCGCCGCTCGACAACCCGCCATTTCAGCCATTATTTGCCGAATTATGCTACTAAATAGCGTAATAATAATAGGTGCGATGTACTCAGTCTGTACAGCGGCAATCAAAACGTAAAAAATGAACAGATGTAACTCGACCTTCGTGCTAATCGGCATTACCAGTCATTGCTGGCGAGTGTTGAAGAGTGGATCAACCATGTGGGACTCAAACTGTTAAAACGGACCGGCAAGCGGTGGTTGGTGAATGGACGAGGAACGAGGAAACGAGGAAATGGACTGCAAAATCAAAGCTCAACATTTGAACCGTGATATATTCTACAAATGCCAGCCAATTCGGAAGACAGGTTTACAAAGCTGCACGTTCTCAATTTAAAAAAAAAAAAATGCTGTTCAAGAATGAGGAACTATGAATACAAATCAGCGTTCGCAACCAGGAACTGTTTGTTTTGCGTGTGTAGGAAGAGGCACACAAATAAAAAATGTTTATCGTGCACCTGACTTTGGTATTCTATTTGATAACTTTCTCTTTGCGTGCAGTGGCTGGATCGTGATGATAGGTACCGTCTGTGTACGCTCCCGCCGCCGCCGCCGCCTTTCAACATTTTATGCACGCCTTATTCGTGTCAGACTGGCTATCTTTGTGCCTTTGAGCCGTTGCGCTTAGCATCATACTATGCAAATAAGACAAATTACTCTGTTAATTGACAAAAATCTTGACAGGGCAACCCATCGAATTGGGTCATTCTACGTCCTATATTGGACGGTCAGCCCATGAAATTGGGATACATCCTGTATTGCATAACTTACTCTGTCAAATTGGTGTCTAATTTTACATTTCTTTCCGCTCTGTCACCGCTCACTACCGACTGTCATTCCTGTCTGCTAACATCGTGTCGCTAATTTCCAGATGTGAAGTTTGCCGAACTGAGGAGCATCATACAATTTATGTACAAAGGTGAAGTGGAAGTTGACCAGTCGGAGATCGAGTCGCTCATCGGCACCGCCGAGGGACTCATGATCCGAGGTGAGTCGGGACTCAGAGTCGGGAGTCATGTGCGAGTGTCGGGAGTTTTGTTTGAGTGCGAGGGTTGTGTTTGGTTGTCGGGATTCAAGCTTGAGTGTCGGAAGTAAGGTTTCAGTGTTTGGAGTCGTAGTCGAGTGCCGAGAGTTGTATTTGAGTGACGGGAGTCGAGATTATGCATCGGGAGCCATGTTTGGGAAGTGGGAAACATGCTAGAGTACCTATGGGGACTACAGTTTAGTTAGTAGTACCGGAGCTTTCAAATCTTGAGGATAAGTGTCAAATGGTGCCGTTTGAATGTCGAAATTTGTGTTTAAGTAGAGCAGGAGAGCTGTGTGTCGTATTTTTTTTCTTTAGAATTAGCGGCATGCACCATGGAAGCGGTGGTAGTGTCCTGTTCAAATAAGTCAACTGGCAAATTTATGTTTGTCAATTGACGGCGTCCATTCTTGTTAAGCAGTGCGACCCAACGGGCGATTTGTCTTTGGTTGCGTCACACACTGCGGGCCTCACATTTTAAATAATACGTTTTTCACGAACTTTTCGCCGAACTAACTGCCACAATGTAGATTTATTATGATAAATCGAAAGAAGTTTGCAATGATAGCCTGGCAAAAGGAGAACAGACGAGCCCATTCTGCGCAGACCGACGTAAAAATAGAAATTATGGGGACGAATGTTATGGAGGGCAAGGGGTCTGAAGGCCACATTTTAACGGCTAAAGGGGGGATGAACTGCTGCGGATTGGATTATGTCTGAATACGTCATTGCTGCTTTTGTTGCTGATATCTGCATTATTTCTTTGTCTTGGATGAAGCAATCATATGGCAGGTCGTAAAAAGTAGCAGAACAACGCCATGATTTTTACTGCTTTCGTTTGATTAATTTTTGTTGACATGATCAGCGAACAGCAAGGTTAAGTTGTCCTGAAAAGCGAATGACCAATAACCACGCAACAAACTTCTGCTTTTGAACTAGCAAGAAATGGAAAACACAGAATAACATTTCATCTCTATATGTTGTATAGGCGTATCCACTCCAAACGCCTCGCTTTTGACACCATGCCAGAACAGAAATACGGCACGAGTGCTGGCTGCACCAAGTCCTGGAACTGGCATAACGGTTTATACCACATCGCACTTTGTGTCTGGGTTTCTCCCTCGCTATTCTGGTGTGTGTATCTACATACTGCAGATAACCGAATATGAACATGAGCGAGCCTGTTTCATGTCTCCATCACAGTTTCGCGGTTGGAGGGTTTCAGATATGCGAGACAACACACACGAGAGGTGTCGTAGAGTAAATTTCCTCGAATATATTATAGTTTCTTTGAATTCTATTAAAAATGTCTGCTGATACGCACAATGCATATGATAGCGTCTCATTTTCACGGAATGGGGACTAATCTTTTACTTAAAACTGCTTTTTATAAATAACATTTTAACCATCTGCTCACAGTTTTCGTGGTCGGTTGTACGCAAGAGCAAACGCACCCAAAATTTTCCACTTATGGTCCAAGCCTGGCACCCCACCCCACCCCAGCTCATTCCAAAGACGCGCGCCTCTTGCTCGCAGGTCTCGCGCTAGGGTGTGTCATCATCAAAGGACGGGTGTCACCCCTGGCACATCAGTGACGCACTCGGCCACTATGTATAGACTCGTGATTAGTGTATGGTGATTCAGTGTTGGCTCGCTTCACACGGGGGACTCACGCTGGCAGAAGTATATCGCTGACCACTGTCCAGCGTCCTGGGCAGTTTTGGAAAACCACATCAGAAACTAGACCAGACCAGGCTGAGCGAAATGTATAATTTAGCGTACCTGTGTAATTTGGGTTTTGGAATTCATTTCTCATTGTTTTGTTAATGCTCTAAGCGAATGTTGACCATTGCTATTCAGTTTATTTATTTGGAAAATCTAATTAATGGATTAGGAATTCGCTTCCTCCTAAAGACAACCGCCACTTGGTGGCCAAAGCAGGCCAGTAAATCGGCGTAAAGTCCCGTCGCTTCCCCCTGTATCAGCCACCTATAGCCGCCACGTGTGGTCGCGTGTCAAAAATTGGACCGCTTCACACCCTGGTCATACCACCTGGTCGGGCTTACCGCCTTTCTGCGCGGCGGTTCCTCGAACATCGGATGTCACGAGGCTAACGCCGACTGGCTCGCTCCAAAATCGGCAGATCTGATTAAAAATGGCTTATGGCAGACGCGTGTGACTTAGGTGATACAGAGAAGCACTGCACCAGTGATGGAAAACTTAGCGCTGGACTAGCCAGTATGAGCGAAGCAGTTGTTGATCAGATTTGCAGTCGAGGTGCTTTTTGTTCAAACAACGGAAGCCGGGTGTATACTAATGCATTTGTCGGAAGTTGGCATACCGGAAATCACATTTTTCGGAAGTTGAACTTCCACAAGATTGCATGGTTTGGCAAATTTCCCGTCGTGAAACAATTTGAGACTGACAAAGCTTCTTATGATATTTGTTAGCTATTTTTCCAATGTCACACGACTCTGAATGTCTCTTTTTCTTTTTATACGTTGCAATGACACGGACCAAATGTTTTGAATTTTGGCACGCATGCATTGCTTTGCGCTCTTACAAATTACATACAAAGCCTCGGCTCATTTTTACCAATATGCGACATCGGAAGCATTCCAAGCGAGTTCGCTTTCAATCTTCTCTTTTAGCAACAGTTTCCTACGTCACCTGGAAATTTATCAATTTTCAGATTTTAACTCCTATCTCATGAACCGACATAATTATGAAACACAACGAGGTCTCGGTCTAGACTGACTGTATTCAGACGGAACGGGTCCCTCGCCGGTGCCCAGTCACGTGACCGTCCCGGCCTCAGGCACGGTCAGCTGGCGCCGGTGGCCCGGCGGCCGGCACGCGACAACCCACAACGCCACATTCCTCCCCACCAGATCTTGACATAAAACAATGCACGATATATACACGAATTAAAACCTATCATACAAAGCGAACACGACCATGAATTGACAAAGCATAGGACGGTGCGTACGATCTTACGCATAACTCAATCGGTCCGGTCCGGGAAGCGGCCTGGGACGGAGCACCCGGTCGGACACTGCCGGCGCCGCTACGGCCGCCGGCGGAGCGCCCAACTCAGGGGAGACCGGCCCGGCCAGCGAGCCAGGCGACCCGGCGTCAGCCAGCGGCGACGCCAGATCCGCCGGATCCGGACCCCAGTCCGGACTCTGCGCCCCCGGAACACCGCGGCATGGACGCACCCGATCGACATGTCGCACCAATACACGGCCATCATTCAAACGGACAGTGAGTTTCACACCGCGTCGTCCAATCAATACCCCCTGAAGCCAGTTTCTTCCCCTCGAGCCCTGCAACTGTCCGACAGCCGAGACATAAACTGGTTCGCCTATATTCACAGAGTGTGAGTCTGCCTGTCGACACCCCCGGTCCTTACACCGTTTCTGTCGGTCCTGTTCACGTCGGACAGTTTCCTCCAGGTCGGGTCGCAGCATATCGACCGGCGTGCGTAACTGACGGCCAAACATCAGCTCTGCTGGTGACGTATGTGTCGTGCTATGGCTGACTGTGCGATAGTTGAATAAAAATCGAGACACTTTAGTGTTGACCGAGCCTCTACCCTGCTTACTGAGGCTTCGCTTAAACGTCTGAACAGCCCGCTCTACAAGCCCATTGGATTTCGGAGAGAACGGAGGTGAGGTCAGATGACAAATGCCGTTCACCCGACAAAACGCTTCGAACTCTGGAGAGACAAAACACTGGGCGTTGTCAGAGACTAGGGTTCTGGGGACTCCCCAGCACGCGAATGAGCTTCTCAGCTTTTCCAGGGTGGTTTCAGTAGTAGCCTGTCTGCAGGGAAAAACATCCATCCACTTCGAATAGGCATCGACTATAATCAAAAACATACTACCTTGAAACGGACCGCAAAAATCAATGTGCACTCGCTGCCAGCATCCAGACGGCCACTCCCAGGGATGGATTGGCGTCTCTGGTAGACTGGAGCGCCATTCCTGACATGTGGAGCATTTACTGACCATCTCAGAAATATCACGGTCCATGTTTGGCCACCAAACATAACGTCTGGCGAATGACTTGGTCCTGCCCTCCCCACAGTGTCCACTATGCAGGAGCCGCAGTACCGATGCGCGACCTTGGGGCGGAACGATCACCCGTGCTCCCCAAAGTACGCAGCCACCCTGTGAGCTGAGCTCAGACTCCCGACATTTATATGGCCCAAATTCAGAAGAAAGCGGTACACCACACGAAGGCCAGCCGTCCTGAACATATCGATAGACAGCAGACACGACTGGATCACGCGCAGTCCACTGACGAATCTGCTGTGCTGTTATTGGACTGGAGTCCAAAACCTCCATCATGTGGACCAGCTCCGCTGGCACCGGACTGCTGGCGTCCGCCGGTACGTCGGGCAGTGGCAGCCGGCTCAGTGCATCACAATGGCCCTGTAACCTGCCAGCACGGTACTCTAGCCGATAATCGTAGGCCGACAACATCATGGCCCAGCGCACGACTCTCGGCGACGCCATGAGCGGCAGAGGCTTCTGCTCACCGAGTAAGCCCAGCAGGGGCTTATGATCAGTCTGAACTCTGAACGATCTACCAGCCAGAAAATAGTGGAACTTCTTGACGCCTGCCACCAGGGATAGTGCCTCCCGATCAGTTTGCGAATATCTACGCTCAGTGTCGTTTAGGGTACGAGAATAGAAGGCCACCGGCCTCTCGCCGCCTGGCGTCAAAATACTAAGCACGCACCCGAGACCAATAGGGCTCGCATCAGCGGACAAAATCACATCATATTTCGGATCGAAATGGGCTAACACAGGCGGGCTTAGCAGCAGCTTTTTGCCAGCCTCGAACGCGGAGCGCTCAGTGTCACCCCAGCGCCACGGCTGGTTCTGGCGAAGCAGGATATACAATGGCGCTAAGACTGTAGAGAGACCCTTCAGGAACTTTCCGTAATAATTAATACCACCCAGCCAGGACCTCAGCTGACCCACTGACGCTGGCTCGGGTGCCCGGAGAATGGCACGGACTTTCTCCTCGGTGGCTTCCACACCCCTGGCGCTCACCCTGTGACCAAGGTACGTTACCTCGGCCAGCCCAAACTGGCACTTCTCACGGTTGACTCGCAGGCCGGAGTCCTGCAGGCGGCCGAGGACGGCCCTCAGCGCGGCGTTGTGAGAGGTAATGTCTGCCCCAGACACAACCACGTCATCCAGAAAAACCCCGATACCGGGAATGCCCGCTAGGAGCGTTTCGAGGGTTTTCTGGAACAACGCCGGCGCTGAACTGTACCCAAAACTGAGACGAGTCGGTCTCAACAGCCCACGGTGGGTATTCACTGTGAGATACTGTCTGGAGCTCTCATCTAATGGCAGCTGGTTATAAGCACACTTTAAATCTATCTTACTGAACACGGTCGCTCCCGCCAGCTTGGGTAGAAGCTCTTCCACCCGCGGCAACGGATAGTGATACTGATACGGCGTGGCCACTTTATTAGCTGTCAAACGATAGTCTCCACAGATACGCAGTGAACCGTTTGCTTTCGGTGCGATCACTAGTGGTGCGGCCCATCTACTGTTAGAGACCGGCTCCCAGAGACCCTCGCTGATTTGTTTGTCAAGCTCAGAATCAACCTGCGCTCTATATGCCAGAGGAACGGTTCTGGCTTTAAAGAACCGGGGCTGAACGTTACCATCCACACCAATATGAACAGGGTCACCGCGGTAGCAGCCCAGGCCGTCCCGGAATACTTCCGGAAACTCCGCCAGAATAGGCTCGACCTGGGGATGAGCTGTCAACCGACCTATGGCTGGCCAATCCAGCTTAATGGCCTCTAACCAGTTACGACCGAACAGGCAGGGTCCCTCCCCTTTCACAATCACCAATGGCAACCGGACCACCTGCTGCCCATACTGAACCCGCACAGTCGCCTCCCCACACACAGGTAACACTTCCCCGCTGTATGTCCTGAGACGGTACGAACAGCTGCCCAGGACGGGCGGGTTATCAGGCCAAATCTGTCTGAAAACACTCTCACCACATACAGACAGCGCAGCGCCAGTGTCCAGCTCCATGGAGACGGGCCGATCATCCAGCATCACGTTCAGCTTGATCGGGGCGCGCCGGTCGCCCGAACACCGGAACAGCGAGTACAGCTCCTCTTCCTCCACCGCCGCGCTCACCGACCCGCTGGCAGAGGCCGCTGCCCCTTCCGGACGTCCCGAAGCACTGGCCGACGATGGCACTATCGCCGGCTGAGAGCCGTCAGCCCCCACATCAACCGCGTCACACTGCACTTGGTCAATGCCCGCACGTCGAGTGGCCGCACACGCGGCTCGGGTATGTCCAAGCTTTCCACACGAGAAACACACTCGCCTGCGGAACGTACACTTCTCCGATGAGTGACCCCGCCCCAGACAGCGAGGGCAGCGAGGGCAGGGACCGGCCCGACCACCCCGGGCAGGCGCATGAAGCCGGCCGACCGCCGCTGGCCGCTCCCCACCGGACACGTGGTGCACAGCTGACTCGCCAGACGGGCCCGTCTGACTCTGGGCGATCTCGCCGGCCTGGCGGGCGGCTGCCTCATGCGCTGTCGCAATCGCTGTAGCCGATTGTAGAGTGAGGTTCTTCTCGCTGAGCAGCCGGGACTGCAGGCGCTCATTCCGGATACCGCTGACGAAACGATCGCGCAGCATCTCCTCCAGTATCCCGGCACAGCAGGTGAACTGGCACGGCCGAGCCAGGTGACGCAGCCGGGACAGGAAGGCCGACACCGTCTCGGTATCCTCCCGGCTGCAGGTGTGAAATCGGTGCCGTGACAGGATCACCGATTCATCCGGCTCGAAGTGAGACGTGAGCACCTCGATGATTCTGGCACAGGTCACCTCAGCTACCCCCGCCGGGGCAAGCAGGTCCTCCAGGAGCGAGAATGTGTCCGGCTCCAGAGCAGTCAGGAGCACAGCACGCCGCTTAGCGTCCACTGAAACCGCGGCCTTCTTGTCGTCGGGAATAAGCAAATCGTTCACGACAAAGAACTGTTCTAGCCTCCTGGCATAGCCACCAAAGCTCTCCTCGTTCCGCTTAAACACGGGCGGCACCCCAAGCCACGCCATGGCTGGTTCCGCACTCGTCGCCAATGAAACACAACGAGGTCTCGGTCTAGACTGACTGTATTCAGACGGAACGGGTCCCTCGCCGGTGCCCAGTCACGTGACCGTCCCGGCCTCAGGCACGGTCAGCTGGCGCCGGTGGCCCGGCGGCCGGCACGCGACAACCCACAACGCCACAATTATTTCTCCCAATCTTGAGAATTTGGACCCCATGATCCATCCAACAAGCCTACCCACACCACGTCCACTCTCCTGTCCGGCTCTATTCCGTCGACTGTTCAGTGTCCTCTGATACTAATATCCAGCCCTGGCAGTCCTTCAGGACAGCTGATCAGCTTAACACGCCGAGTGTCGTGCTGCATTCGGTGGTACTTTACCGGGCGCCAATGAGACGGGACCAAGTGGAGAGCCCTGTGGTAGCCCTCGGGATGTTTGTGTGCATCCCAAGGCCGCATAAAGAGCTGGCTCCTCTGTATGCTTAGCAGCTGAATAAAATGCATGAAGAAGCCACGCGCTGGGTGACAGAGAAAAAGTGTGATGATTTTCTGCATCAGAGGCCAGGTTGCTTACCAACAGAAAAATCGTTGACTGTGGTTATTTCTTGCCACAAGTCATCGACGAGGTTCTTCAGTCATGCCCCCCCCCCCTAAAAAGAAATGACGGCTGATGGGAAAAATATTAGCCGACAGCCAGTCTCACTGATATTATCGCATCAGGTACTCTTTTTTCGCTTCATTCGTCAAATTTGCGAGCGACTGCTACCAATAGAAATAACCGCTACCGGCGATCTTTCTGTTGGCATAACTTATCTCCTACGCATAGCACTTTTGCTTATCTCTTCATGCGCTTCGGTGATATCGTTTGTGAACACTTCCAAACCATCAGCCATGCTGAGCCTAAGTCAAAGCCCAACGGTGAATTCGTAGATAAGACACTTAATCGCTCCTGATTATCCATACTGTCATCTTTTTCCATCACCATCTATCTGCGAGTCTTGTGAGAGGGTGGCGTACTCTCCTTGCTCGTGGGAACGAGCACCCAAGTCCTGGACGTGTTACCGCTGTTCCACGAAGTCGGGGACATCCGACGCGTCCGTCACATCCGTCACGTCTTTCGTGCCCGTCACGAGTTAGTCCAGTGTCACGGTCACACAACAGGGATGTGTTGACGTCCGTCCAGACCGCATGCATTGCAAATCGGTATCTGCACCTGATCATCGCTGACTGGGCTAGCGTCGGGTCTCGCGAGGTCTTCGCGTTCCCTGGTTCGCTGGGAACTGGTCCTTATACTTGAGCAAGATGAAGGTTGTCTTGGTGCCTTTTATCGAAGGTGATCCATGTATGTAGGTACTGAAGACAGGCGTCTTTGCGTTTCCTTCTGTCAGTGCCAACCCCGCACTTAAAGACTGGCATCACCTGATGCGAACTGTCTCTTGCTTTTCTGTCACATGACAGAGATGTCCCTGGGCTCCTCCACGACATTCAGTCGTCATTGTGTGGCTTACCAGCTCCAGTTCCTCATCCTTAACGCCATCACTGAATGCTTCCGCAGTTCTCCCCAGCTCTCGGTTGATCCCGTCAGCGGGCTCGTCCCCCGGTCCTTAAGCTCCCTCCTACCACCACCACTGCGACGTCCCGCGCGTCTAGGCTCTCGGTCGGGCTTCCCTTGCGCCTTCCTGCAACCCCTTCTTTTCTTTGACCTCTTGCGCCACCACTGTGCGTTACTCAAAGCTAGGCTCCCGGTCGGGCCTGTTCGACTCCTGACCTACTCCTTTTCTCTGACCTTCCACCCTCCCTGCGACTTCCCCGCAGTCAACCACCCCTGATCACCCTACAGGTCCAATATCTTCCCCTTTAACCCTCTAACACCCATACTGCAACGCCCCGCAGGTCAGGGCTCTCGGTCAAGCCCGCTTCACCGACCTGTCTTTGACCCCGACAACCCCTCTGCGCGCTCCCACAGGTCTGGCCGGCTCCCGGTCCACAGTGAGTGGCCTGCAGCTGCGACCACCGACCGGTCACGACCTGACACCGCGCTCAGAGCCATCATCCGACCAGGAGCGTAAGAGGCCGCGCTCCGAGCACGACTCGGGCGGCGGCGGCGGCGGGGAGCCGGCGCCCTCGCTGCCGCCCTCCGGGCCGCCCACCACCACCTCCAGCAACGGAGATGACGGCTCTGTGGTAAGCACTGACAGGAGGGAGATGGAGTATGTGGAGGAGGCTGTTGGAGGCTGTGAGGAATGTGGGCAATGGGCATGCGTTATCCAGGTGATGCTCTAGTTGTCCATTCATCTCTTGTTGTTGTTGCTGTTGTTGCTGTTTTTCAAAGAAGTGGTCAGTGGAGCCTCCATAACATTAGAAATAGGCCAACCATGATGTCTGTGTTGAGTGTGTTTTTCTATAGGCGTGTAAGAAAAGGGCAAAGGTTCAAGTTTATATATAATGTATATTAAAGTAATAGGAATGGACTGCTTAACGGCTGGGTGCGCACGGTTTCTCTTTAAGCCTGGGTCGCATACTAAGTGCTTGACGATGCAGCTCTACGTACCAATATTCGGCTCAGTATTATAAAACAGGCACTGCGGCAATGAGTGTGTATAAAGCTCGCACGAAATGAACCTGCCGGCAGCTTCGGAACCGGGCCTGTAATTTTCAGCCTCAATGGGAGATAATCTTGTACATTATATGACAGCAATAGCAGGTGTTAATACGATTAAATTGCTAGCAGCATGGGCTGGGTAAAGCCGAGGCACAATTTCAGGCAAGGCTCCTTGATATTTTTTTCTTGGTTTCGCTAAATGCCTGGAGGGGTTAGCCTAATTTGTAAAAAATGCATAGATTCTCTAAACGTAATGAAGATTCATACAATTCGAAAAAAAATGGTGAAACATTAGATTGTCTATTGGCGGCTCGTTTGCAAAGCGACACCATATTATGAACATTTTATCAGCCAGGGCAATCTTAAAATTATTCAGCTTAGCATTGGGCATTAGCCACAAATGCTTTGCTCAATATCAGCATTTTATTTCGTCCGCCACCAATATGTTCTGTCCACAACTTATTATCACGCTTGCAGCTTTCCACCTTTCCTTTCGTCAACATTAAGCGCTCTGAGAAGCCGAGCTCTGTTTGCCAGCACACTGCACTGCTTGTTTAAACGGCCTATTTTTGTACCCGGAAGGGCAGACGCGGTACTTCCCTGCCTCTAGGTGTGTGAGCCTGGCTGTATGTGTGTGTTTCGGCGCTATAAATCCACCTCGCCGGGGGGCCCATATCGATTTCTGCACTCGCAAACTGCGGAGTGCAAAGTACGAAGGTGTGTAACTTGCAGAGGTTTCTAAACTTAGCGTTTTGTCGCAGGTAATCCAACTCACGCTGGTTTTAAAACCATTGGTTTAATACATGTTAAGATGCAGGAACGCGATGTCAGTTTGAGGAGGAAAACGAGTCTAATTGATGCGATTGGTGTCTGATAATTTAGCATTTGCGTTGTGCGTGAGCTGTTGTTCACTGTAGCTTGAAATTAGGCACCAGTTTTAATTAGTTTGATTATGAAGCCAACCGTGATTTTGAAATGTGGCGAGGACGGATGAAACCTCACCCTGCTCTCAAACACCACTTTGCTCTCAAACGCCACCCTGATTCTACATAGTGACCTCAAACACTGCTCTGATCTCGGGCTGGTCGAGTTTAGCGTTAGCACCGTGACCGTCCAGCGTCCACAAAAATTAATGGGGCGCAGCTGCGGCGGTCTGCGCGGCCGGCCGCCATCTTCGGGGCCGTTTTTTACGCCGGCCTCCTCCCATGTGGGCGAACCCACTCCATCATTCCAGCGGCGATTTTTGCCAGCCGCCGGCCGACCCGGACCGGTTTGGTGCGCTCCAATCTGAAACTCGGCGGCCGCAGAGCGTCCGAATCCAGCGCCAGCGCGCATAGAACGCCCGAGCCTGACGCCAACGCGCATAGAAGGTCGGAGCCTGACGCCAGCGCGCATACAGTGTCCGAACCTGACGCCAGCGCGCATAGAGTGTCCGAACCTGACGCCAACGCGCATAGAACGCCCGAGCCTGACGCCAACGCGCATACAGTGTCCGAGCCTGACGCCAACGCGCATACAGTGTCGGAATCCAGCGCAAGCGCACATAGAAAGGCCGAATCTAGCACCAACGCCTAGAACGTTCGAATCTAACGCGAATGCACAAAGAACGTCCGAATCTAGCGCCAACACGCGTAGAGTATCCGGACATGACGCCAATGCGCACAGAATGTATGTCCGAATCTAACGCCAACGCTCTCACAACGCAAGAGTTCATAGAACGTCCGAATTTAACGCCAGCCCGCACAGAAAGGTCAAAACTGACAACATCGTCCGACTGTGCGCTCAAATTATATGCCAGAGCCCGAAGTACGCCCAAATCTGACGCAACGGGTCACGTGCGCCACCAAATATAATGACGCACGTGCCCGCCGAGCCAAAAAGTGACCACATCACATACACGTTAACCTAACGCGAACCCCACCCCTCGTAACGCGAAAAACTAGGGCTGACTCCCCGCTGTGCCCCCAAGTCTAACGCAACACGCATACTCGTAGTGAGCTCTTGAATCTAACACTGTCGCTCATTGGGTGTCCAGATCTGTCACTAACGTCCGTCGTGTGTTCACAGATAAAGCGGCCCAAGATCGAAGACCCCGGCTCCGGCTCCGGCGAGGAGAACAACTCCGTGGACGGCATGGAATCGGTAAGTACCGACAGACGCCGCGACTTGTCCACCTCTAAATGCTGCAGTACTGCTATTCAGAACTGGAACGTAGATAGAGGTGGAACGGCAAGAATGACGCGAGCGCCGCCCTATTGAAGTGATTTTTTTGCGCACTAATAATAACGTACACGGTGCGGGGACATCTTGACATAACGACACGCACAACACATGCCTCTATTATTCTACAGACGTCGCATTACATAGACCCGGGAACAGGGGGGGCAGCGGGGGCGCTTGCCCCCCCAACTTGAGAGCCGAGGGGGCGGCGCCCCCTCAAGATTGAGGCAGCGATAAAGGATCTTTCCTCCCTTTTCCGGACTTTTTTTTTCCTTCTTGTTTCCTTTATACATCTAAACATCAACACATGACATTTTCCTTGCCATCTGAATGGTTTCCATGCTGATACATGCGATTTGATAACTTCTGCTATTGTCATCCCTCCTCTTTGGTTTGGGCCTGACCTTGGCCAAAAGTTTGGCAGGCCAGATAACACAGTTTACCCGCTCTGGGTGTGAGGGAGGGGTGTGGGGCAATGAGTGCACTGACGTGGCGCCCTCGGAAGGCCGGTATGGGATTGAAGCTCAGCGACACTAAGGGTTTGTGTGGTGCCTTCGGTTATCGGTAGCGCCCTCAGAATCACCGGCGTAGGGCCCTCAGAGCCGCCGGTAAGGGGCCTTTAGAGGCACCGGTGTGCGGCCGTCATGCAGGTACCGGTGTGGGCGCTCAGAGGTGCTAGTGTGATTCTCTCAGAGGCGCCGGTGAGGGTCCTTACAGGCTTTGCTGTGGGCCATCATAGACGCTGGTGTGGAGCCGTTACAGACGGGTGTGGGGCGTTTAGAGCTGCTGACGCGAACCCTCTACAAGGCCGCAGGGGGTTCTCAGTGACCGGCAAGGGGCCGGCAGAAGAAGTCCCGTGGGATCCTTAGAGACCGGCATGGTAGGTACTGTCAGACGCCGGTCACCGGTGTGGGGCCCTCAAAAGTCACCAGTGGGTGGCCTTTAGATGCGCAGGTGCTAACTGTTGGGTCCTCAGAGCCGCCGATATAGGGCTTCAATAGGCACTGGTGTAAGCACTCAGAGTTGGGGGTGTGAAGCCTTCAGAGACACCGGTGTGGGCCCTCATAGGCGCCACAGTTGCCGTTTTGGGGCAATCAGAAAAATAAGTGTGGGACCATCACAGGCGGGAAATGCCCCTAGAACTGGCCCTTCATAGGCCGGTAAGAACTCTCAGAGGCCAGTAATGGGCCTTTGGGGACCACCGAGGGGTTCTTAAAAGCCGCAAGAGGCCCTCAGAAGCCGGCGTGGGGCCCTTATGGAGGTCTTAGTGTGGCTATTTAGGGCCCATGAGGTGCTCTAACGAGCCCCATGGGACCCTTCTGAGTCAAAATATGGCCATCGTTAACTCTCAGCGGTCAAATGGTGCCGTAGGGCCCCTCGGACCCGAGGTTCCCTTTGAACCCGATGGGGGGGGGGGGGTACGTGTCCCCTTAGACCCCTAGCTACGCCACTGTTTCATATGCATCATGTCAGGTATTTTAGGCTCGCCCCCCCAACTTGAAAATCGTTCCCGGGCCCCTGTCGCATTACACACGAAACAACGCAATCCGCATAAAACGCCTATGGCCTTGATTGCCCAACACTAACATGCCAGTTGTGTCGTATCGACAGCTCACAGATACTCGTATATGTCTCATCGTAAACTGATACCTACAAGCTTACTTACGGGAATTCAGAGAACAGCTATAAACGTAGTTCTAATAATACGATGTTATTCGTTCGGTCTAGTTCACGCTCGTTTCAGAGGTCTCAATGTATTACGTAAATAATTTAACATTCTTAGTCGCGAAAATCATTGCGATAAAAACAAATTTCCTCTAACTTTCATTTATTTTCATTTCAGTACATATATTATTTATGATCACTCCAGTTAGGACATAAAACGCCTGTGGCCTTGATTTCCCTACACGAACAGTGTCTTATTTACCCTATTATTTCGTTCTTATTGAAAATATCAAACGACAATCTGAAGAATATGGCCTATGTTATTACGACAATTGTTATGGCAAGCGTGATGATTCATGGGTGAAATAACTTTCCACTGTGGTTGTTATACTGAAAGGCAAACCAGTGTATTCTACATCCTTGGTAACACAGCCTATAGCCACCGAATCAATGCGCGGCCTCGTGCCCCCAACGCATTACTCGCAGGTCGTAGGTCGGCAGAAACTAACAAATGCATTGAGGCATGCGCATATCACGGTATGTTTAACGTTGTCGCCTTCACGTCGCTTGCCATGATATTTGAACGGTATGACTCCAATGGCAGTGGACGTAACTAGGCCATTTGTATGTCGCTTTTGTGGTTTTATATGCCCTGCAGGCGCTGGTATTGTGCTAATAGCGACATTAGTTGTATCAGTGCCAAGCTTAGAAAACGATCAGTTGGGAGACTAGATGTCAGTGACGAAGGCTTTCCAAAAATTGGTTCATAGTCAATGAAGGACATCAACTTGCCTCGTTCTGTAGGCACAAATTTTAGATGTTTTAAGGTATTCGCTCCGTGTATTGCGACTCTTTTAATGTACGGTATAATAGACTAATCTCAAACAATCGAATTAAATAAGCTGCCGATTGAAGTTTCCTGCAACCCACCCCAGTAGCATTTGACGTGGTCACTCTTCATGATGAGAAAGACAGGCGGCCACAGTGCGGATCCCTGCGGCACACCGCCATTTTTCGCGCTCAATCACCGAGGTCAAGTCCCTCGCAGCGCTCCGTCGATGGCACCACTCCCCGGGGCGCAATCGGAGCGGGCGTCGAAAGGCGACTCCGCCGGCCGGCCGCCGACACGTCGTGCCCAGAGCGTTTTGCACGTCCGCAGCCCTCGCCGTGGCGCGGTCACGGCACGGCGCGGGCTGCAGCCGGCCCGCCGCCGCCGCCGCCGCACGCTCGCGTTCGGCAACAAGGCCGCGCCTGCGGTGGACGCCGTTGGGGGGGGGGGTGGCGTGAGGGGGGCGCCATGGATCGTGAATCCTTCGAGCGGCGCCGACCGGCCGGGCTGCACTAGTCGGACCCAGCGACCCGACGCGCGGCAGCCCGCGCTGGGCGAGGCCCGCCGCCGCCGCCGCCGCCGCCGCCGCCGCCGCCGCCGCCGCCGCCGCCCGCCGCTCACGGGCAGTTTTCGTGGCGCACCCTGCGCCGCCGCCGGCCGGCCGTTGCCAGATGTTGCCAGGTCGCGCGGCGAGCGGCGCGGCAGCGCGCAGATGCGGCGTGCTGCCGGCCTGCCGGTCCGGCACGGTGCCGGCTGCAGCGGCACGGATTTTTGCGCCTCTGCAAGTGGAGACTGTAGCGGTCAAATGCAGTTGTGGTGTCGCCCGGTCGGGGAGACGACACCCCTTCTGCGCGGCGGCTCGGTTGCGAGGCGGCTGCATGCCTGCCCGTGGCCGACAGGCCGATCCATGAACGGAGCTCGCCAGCGCTGCAGACGAGCAAACGCCCTTGAAACAGCTGGGGCAAGGCAACAGACCGCCTCCGCGGCATCAACGCCCTCGCTGGTGAAACGTCAAAGGTCTTGCAAACTGCACAACTACACGGTCTCGCCAAAGAATTGTCCATTGACGAAACGGTGAATAATAGAGGACGGTTACCGGGGCTGGTGATTCTAGGTAACTCCGCGCGGCGCAGTCACTCGTCACACTGCAGAAACACTCGACACTCCGCACAGACACTCCCGTTCTCTCATGCGGCGAGACTAACTGGGAAAACGACACGCAGAATCGCTACCTCAACAGGAAGTCGGTTGCTCCTTGGTCGCTCGCCTGTGCAAAATATCGTCCTTTACCTGGTTTTAGTGTCGTGAACGGGGACGTAAACTGATTTTCCACGGCATGCGGTTTCACCCGGTGGTGGCTTTTACGAGCACCGTGACGGCGATTGTGGCAGACGCCCGATGGCAACCGTGGGTGTCGGCAACCCGCTGTCTCACGCATGTAAACCCACTCTGGAGAGGGACTACATCGAGTAGAAGTGTTCTTGAAATACCGACGCCTCGCAGCCTGTCAGTCCTGACCACTGCGTTCGACAGGACGTCAGCCGGGGGTGTCACCTCCCGTGTCCGCCAGACGCTGCCCTGGGTGTCGTGTCCGGTGTCAGTCGCTGCAGGTGTCATGTCACCGCCTGACATGGCGGGGCCCCGCCGGGCTGCGTGGTCGTGAGGCGATCCTCACGTCACGGAGACCGCCGACACCGCCGGCCCCGTGATTCGAGCGGGATATCGACTAGAGATGCAAATTCATGGGCGCCATGGTATATCATGCTATCATCTCCATTTACCACTATACAGTGGTATCTACATACATATTCACACAGCATCTATTCGGATTTGTAGTGTGCGGTCTATTTTACAACAGGTACCTACGGATTTACCCAAAAATGCACACAGCTCACATGGGCATTATTGAAGGCATTATTTTAGCATCAGCAACTCTTATCATTCCACATAGTCGAGTGAGTTTGATGGGACAATCCATGTGGATCTCGATAAAATACCGGCATTATTTATAAAGCGGTGCTCGATGTCGTCGATATCAAAAATATCGATTATACAAACGGTACGTTGTGCGACAGCTAATGAGCTATTTCAGAAAAACTTCACCTGTAATCCTTCACCATAAGTATTTACTACAGAAGTGGGGGTCTCAGATGACCCGTGACACGTTATTGGGGTCAAATATGTCCCGATGAAATGTCGGAATACAGATAATCCCTGTCATTTCTGGATCACAGATTACCCGGGAATGCCTGGTTCACAAATGTTGACACGGACCACGAAAAATTGTTCGTGACAGCACCTGTATTAACCCGGCGGCCGCTGGGCCTCCGCGCCACCCGCCGGCCGCTGGGGGGGGGCATAAAGTTGCCCCCCTTTACTTCTGCGACGATATCGTCGCAACGCGAAGAGATAGAGAAACGAAACTTTG